TTCTACAAAGCAAATCAATCTTGATAATTTTGTTAATGTAATTGAATAATTCTATTAATAAAAATTTATAATTATATTGATTTTATGCTGACGTAATGAATTTGCACTGTGACGTATTAAATTGCATTGACATAATTAATTTTTATTATCAACAAGCTAAAATAAAATTTTAAAAAGTATTTTCTGATCAAGCAAAATGACGGCTACAGCAAAATCATTTGAAATAAATATTTATTCCCGCTTTAATAAATCATTTGCTGATGAAAATATCATTGACTGATTCTTTATTCATAATACTGCATCAACCATAGCTTTTCTAAGGCTATTCCCTATAAAAATAAAGAAAAAAGAAATATTAGAACGTTTTTTTAAGTCAATCTACAAAAACTCCCTCCATTCAACTTACCCGAGGTCTCCAATACTGTTCCCAAGTTATTTTCTACAAAAATAAAGAAAAAAGAAATGTTAGAATGTTTCTTTTTAATTAATTTTACAAAAACTCCCTCCATTCAACTTACCCAAGGTCTCCAATACCGTTCCCAAGTTATTTCCTACAAAAATAAAGAAAAAAGAAACGTTAGAATGTTTCTTTTTAATTAATTTTACAAAAACTCCCTCCATTCAACTTACCCGAGGTCTCCAATACCGTTCCCAAGTTATTTCCTACAAAAATAAAGAAAAAAGAAACGTTAGAATGTTTCTTCTTAATTAATTTTACAAAAACTCTCTCCTTTCAACTTACCCAAGGTCTCTAAGACATTCCCAAGTCGTTCTCTACGAAAATAAAGAAAAAAAAGAAACGTTAAAACGTTTCTTTAAGTCAAATCACAAAAATTCCCTCCATTCAACTTACTCAAGGTCCTCCAAAACCGTTTCCAAGTCTTTCCCTACAAAAATAAAGAAAAAAAGAAACGTTAGAATGTTTCTTTTTAATTAATTTTACAAATTCTCTCCTTTCAACTTACCCGAGATCTCCAAGACGTTCCTACAAAAATAAAGAAAAAAAGAAATGTTAGAACGTTTCTTAAATTAATTCCTCAAGCTCTGCTCCCTCTATTCGACTTACCCGAGATTTTCAAGACCGTTACCTGTTGTTTCCTGCAATAATGAATAAAGAAAGAAACATTAGAACATTTCTTTTAAGTTAATTCACCAAATTTCCTCCATTCAACATTTATTTCAACTTACCTGAGGTCCTTTAAGACTGTTCCCAAGTCATTTCCTACAAATATAAAGAAAAAAGAAACATTAGAACGTTTCTTTACCCAAACTCCTCTTTAGAACTTTACCATTTTTCATTTTTCCCTAAAATCTAGAAGTCCGTTTCCTATAAAAATAAACAAATCCCTTTTTTTTTAAGAAAAACTGAAAAATTGATTATAATTATTAATAAAACTATTTTTTTTTCAGTTTTTTAAACTGAATTTATATTCAGTTTATTACTAGTAACTTTTTTTTTTAAAAAAAAAATTATCCACAACGATCAGTCGATCAGTGGTAAAATCGGTATAAATCATATGACTGAAACGAATTATTCAGTATAATATAGTTACACCGAAGAATTCGCTATATTACACTGAAGAATTCGTTATAGTGTTAACAAAGTTGCTTATAACGAAGGCCTGATCAGCCAGAACGCAGGGTTCGTTATATCGAGAGGAGACTGTATAGTAAATCTTGGAGAAACTAATCGTAGAATTTTGGAGAAGTTTAGGCAGGCAACCTTATTCTCAAACAATTCACATAAAACCAATTTTATTTATTTTAGGGAATCCTGATGGTCACCCGATCCACTCTCCCAACAATTACGATATTCGCTTTTTTAATGAATTAAGCGACGAATTCTGGCTGCAAACTAGTAATTAATTCAATCTTAATTATGATACTTTGTATATATTACTGATTCGTTAAATTTATATTTACATTTTTTTTTATTTTAGACAGGTTATACAGGGCATACCTGCAGCTGAGAGTGGATCAACAGACGTATAGGTATAGAGAATGACGCTAGCATCATTCCCGAAGCTGTAGCAGCAGCAGCAGCAGCAACAGCAACAGCAGCAGCAGTAGCAGCAGCAGCGATCGGAGGAGAAGAAGAAGAAATAGGAATTAAGGTAAATACTAATTAATCATGAATTTATAATTAGATGGATATATATCACTAATGTGTAAAACTATAATCTTATTCCATGAATTTTGCGAAAAATAGACCCTCCTTCCTTTCGGTTTCCCTTCCTTTCCCCTTCCCCTTCACCTTCACTTTTATTTTCTCCTTTACCTTTCATTCTCCCCTTTCCCTTCCCTTTCATTCTCCCCTTTCCCTTCCCTTTCATTTTCCCCTTTCCCTTCCTCTTCCCCTTTCCCTTTCCCTCACTGGAATCGTCATTTTTAATCTTTTATTTTAGTTTATTATTTTTAGAATAAATCTAATTGTAACAGCCTGTTACACATCTTATTTGTAACAACCCCTAATTTTATCCAATTAAAATTTAAGATCAGGCGTAATGTAAACAAAAACAAAAGATCAGTCGTGTAACTAAGACAAAAGAATTTTTTAAAAAATTTCAAGAAACTGCTTATAACTTAAAATTTTGTCCATGAAACTGTCTTAAATACATTAAGTAAAAGTTTTCCAAATTAAATTTTGCATATAAAAATTTTATTTGTGAAACATATATTAAATTTATTATTAAAAAAAAAATAAAAAAAGGATGTTACAAATAAGATATGTAACAGGCTGTTACAAATACATTTTTTCTTATTTTTATTATATTTTAAATGATAATCCTTAATCTTCATTATTATGCCATCTAGAATCTATATAATTAAAACGTTTAGTCTGTATAAATAAATTATAATTGCGAGCTATCGCCCGTATCTATTATAAGCTTATTAATCAATTATTAATACCCGATGCAAAGTAGCAGCTAAATTTATTCATATTGGATATTGGATGTATATCATGTATGATTATTCAATCAGATTATTTTAAAATATAAATTTACCAACGTAATTTTATTTATGTCACGTCGATGTTATTTAAAATAATAAAAAACTTAATTCTGTAATATTTAAAAACATTAAAAATGATATAAAATTATATATATAAATAAAAAAAATTCTCAATAATCATTGATAAGTTCGTCCAATAAATAATTACATCAATAATATTATAAATCAACTTAATTTTCCAATAATCATCATTGTTATTGATATATATTAACCAATTAGGATCATTATGATTATATGCATGTGATATCTAAAAATAGATAAAATTGTGTGATTGTTTTTTTGTTTATTTTCAATTCTTTTTCTTATTAAAACTTACAAAGTAATAAAAAAAATGTACCCACCAACTCATTCAAAAGAAAAGAATAAAAGAAAGGAAATAATATGCCCATTTACCCACATACAAAAAAGAGAAAAGCCGATTTAAAATAAATAGTGGAGCTGTTAAGCAAGGTATGAAAATAGAATATACTGTATTTTTCATATTTTTCTTTACAATATGTTGTGGTTTGAGTCTTTCTTTATAGTATAAGTGTAAATATATTTTTCAATGGCCATGTATCTATTGCTTGTTAAATATATTTGCAATTTCTTGTCTTTCTTTTGTTAGACTGTGGTATTACAATATGAAGTGTGAATATATTTTTCAACGGCCATATATCTATTGCTTGTTAAATATATTTGCAATTTCTTTTGTAATATTTGCTTTAGCCTGGAGGAAAATATTATGAAATAGGGCTGGATATTTTATGACATTTTCTGCCTTTCAATTACTTTGTCCGGAGGTAGCCTGACAATTTGTTGTTGTCCATCAGTTGTAGCTAAGAATGGTTAGGTTGGTCCTGATCCGGTTCTGGTCCTGGAACCTATAAGTCCTATTGAACAGACCTGCAGACCAGATCCTGACTAAGTTATTTATAGATTTTATGAATTTTAGTAATAATTAAATATAAAAAAAAGTGAGTTGCAGTATCAGGATTCACTTTTTTATATTGATTTTATATAAAAAAAGTGAGTTGCAGTATCATGATTCACTTTTTTATATTGATTTTATATAAAAAAAAGTGAGTTGCGGTATCACGATTCACTTTTTTATATTGATTTTATATAAAAAAAGTGAGTTGTGGTATCGCAATTCACTTTTTTATATTGATTTTAATATAAAAATGTGAATCGCAATATCGCAACTCATTTTTTATATGATTTTAATAATATAAAAATTTTATTGCAATATTGCAGTGCACTTTTTTATAATTTATAATTACTTAAAATCAAATTATACATATATAATTTAAACATATAGATCTCTTATAACCTTATTGGCTAGGACTTTTTAGGATTTGGTCCGCTTCTGATCCAAAATTTAGACCTAAAGATCTGCAGACCAGATCCTAGGACTTTACCATCTCTAGTTGTAGCAATCAGCATTTTTTTACAATATTATGATTTTAAGAAACAAAACTTTTTCAAAAATTTAATAAAGAAAAAACTAACTTAAAAATATTATTTTATTATTCTTTACAAAATGTTAGCGCTGGAGTTATTTTTTTTCTCACTTATCAAATCTCAACATGTCCATAGACTAATCATGTAGTACACTGTGGTCTAGAACACCCAAGGTTTTTGACTACCTAGGGATGAAATTGTAGAGTACTTCTGCCCGATAGGCTAGCCTCCTCTGACTTAGGGTCTCATTAATCGGGAGAAGAGGTGGTTCCTAAGTACTTTTCACATCAAGGGCGGACATTTTTTGATACTGTGCATTAAGGTGGTAATCCTATATCTGCAAATTCAAGAAAAAAAAATCCAAATCAAAAGAATTTGAAACCAACACATGTCAAGGTAATTTAAGCATTCTTTTTAAAAAAATTTAATCAAAGATTAATTTGGTTTATGATATACAGTAAACCCAAGGAAAAAGATGATACAGTCAACTTTGGATATAACGAACCCTCTGTTCCAGGAGGTTTAGTTCAGTATATAGTGAATTCGTTATATAATATACCGAACTAGTTTTCTTTATAGGTAATTTAGGCCAAATTTGTAATGCTGGCCAAAATTATAATTTCTTTTAACATAAATTTTTGAAAAAATTACTAGTAATTCTGGTCAGCACTATAAAATTGGCCTGGACTACATATAGTCACATGATCGTTCGTTATAGAAAGTATAAAGTTATTATATAGCTGATATATATAGGCTGGTTAAGTTTGGTTTGGATGCGTTATATAGTGTTTTATTATAAAAGTTCGTTATATCCAGTGAAATTATTTATAAAAAATTGGGTCTGGAAATTATGATTCGGTATAGCGAGATTTCGGTACAAATAGGTTCGTTATAACCAGAGTCAACTGTATAATGTATTTTCAGAAGAATATAATAGTAACGCATATCAAGGTAACTTAAATATTTATTTTTTATTTTATTAAAAAAAATATAATAACAAGATCTATTTTCTTTTTAAATAGCAAACTTCGAAAAAAGAGGTGGAATAAAACTGGAATAAATATAAAGGTATATTTTTTACTAATTTTTATTTATATTATTAATATTTTTTTTAACACTCTTTCTTTTTTCTAATCTAACGTTTGTTTCTACTAATACTACTAAACATACTAACATTTTCTATCCATTTTATTTTTCTCTAACATTTTCTAATACCATTCCTTTTCTTTAACAATTTCGTTTAACATTATTCATACTAATATCTTTATTACTAAAATACTTTACTATTTCTATTTCTTTCTTTTAAACAGATAAAAATATGCAGCAAATAAGTGAACACATTATTTGATACACATAATTCTAATTTTTTATATAGCTAGAATAATTTTTATATGATTTTTTGTAATTTTATTTATTTATAATTAATTAACAATTAAATAAATAAATTAATATTATAATTGAATTTAAATTATAAATTTATTAGCATTCATATTATTGCATTAAATAAATATTATTTTTGATATACGTTCAATAATAAAATCAGTAAATTATAGCTATTAGCCTATTAAGCCTATTAGGTATACTTCGGACATGTATATCGGCACTATCTGATAAATGTATGATATCTATCTGATATTTTACTATAATATATCGGGTATCTGATAAATCTATGATATGTGACTGATATTTGACTACCTGATATGTATAAGATATGTACATGATGTTTACAATATATGTTACCGATTTTCTACATTTCTACTACACTTATCGGGCACCTGATATATGTAATATTGTTAAATATCATACACATATATCACATATATTGCACACATATTGGGTACCTGATATGTACCCAATAACATTGATTTTGACCAGTGATAATAAACAGTCCAAGGAAAAGTGCACCAACTGCGCAACTTGTATATAATAGTGTAATTGAAGTATTTAGAGATTTGAATGAAGCAGACATATCCATATAACAAATTTTACTGGCAAATTTGTTCATGTATATAACATATAAGACTAGTTACAATGCAGAGAATGAAAGACTTTCCAGCTTGTGCATCATACATTCATACTCCTGAAATACTGCTCTACCATTACCTGAGATGTTATAACTTTCAATTACTTGTGCTAAACATTCAAACATTTTTTTCCATTGGAGCTGCCCAGTATATTTTTATAATACTCTTGGAATAGCCTAATAACATAACCATAGTCCAGATTGTTGCCTCAATTTGCAAGCAATTCTGATAATTCTTGATCATTTTCTGCAAAGAGGTGGAGTTCATCTTCATATGAATACTTCGCTGTAACTGGAGAATGTCTATTCTTAAACAATTCCAAATATTTTTCACACACTTCACTTTTGACACATTGAAAACTTAATGATTCTGCTGAATTTATCACGTGATTGTGCGTGAACTTTACAGTGAGTTTACGCTATATAAAAAATTTTTTGATACCTCCTGGAATCATCTGGGCACAATGTGCCATTATTCTACTACTCTGATTTTAGCTGTAAAGTTGTAACACATGAATTTGGGAAGATAAGGCCACACAAATCCAATATATTGTTAACATAACAAGAGGGGGGAAGGAATTTAACAAAAAAATTTGTTAATTTTGGCCCGAATTAAATGCTATAATTTATTAAGTGAACACTTTGGCCTAAATTAGGAAATCTCTTCAAATTATAACCTAAATTATATGTTGAAAAAACCCTCCAATAATTGGCGAGGACTGCCGGGGAGGGTTATGTTAGATTTGAACAGCCTAATGGGTACGATACGAATGCCAAGATTCCCAAATTTAACCAAAATCACGTGAATTTTTTTTTTGTATAAATGCTAGGGGATAGGTAAATATACGGGGGGGCCAACTCAAGGTTACACAGGCCATGGTCATAAGACCAGAACTGAAGCCTGTAGTAATTTTATAAGTAACTATATTAAAATTCAAAAATACCCCATGTTTAAAGCGAGAAATGGGCCGATAATCAATATGATCTATGAAAAAAAAATTAGCCCCCGAAAATGACAAAATCCGAAACTACACAAATATATAATTTTTGTCAAGGTTTCGCTTCTATATATTTCAAAAAACTTGATCGGCTATTTTAAATACCTCAAAAATATATAAAAGTTTATTAAATACTTGAAAATAATGCACAACGAAAGAAGAAAACACTATTTTTAAATGTTTTAAGCAAAAAAAAAAATTATTTTTTTATTGAAATCTCAAAAAAAAAAGTTTGTAATTTCTAACTTCCTATTGTCATGTAATAAAACATATAAAAATACGAAAGAAATTAACCAGTGGTCCAATTTGGATGAAAAAACTTCGTCTATATAAAGCTAATATGAACAAACTTAACTTCTGAGATCGGCTACTTTCTTATGTGTGCGTGTCGAAAAAAATAAAAAAAAGCGAAATTTTAATATGAAATTTCGTTTGTGTAACCAATTTATGAAGGCTTCAGTTCAATCGGTAATTGATCAGCCTGTGTAACCTTGAGTTGACCCCCCCGTATATTTACCTATCCCCTAGATAAATGTCGACTTGCTGTTGATCAAACTTTTTTTTGTACATTTAAAAGTCATTACACAAGGTCCTTTAAATATAAAAAAAATGATTATTTCATCAGTATTGGTATGCAGTAAATAAAGGTCATATGATTAAATATTAAAATAAACCTTAATTTTTTGAATTTTCAACCGCATAAAATTTAACCTCGACTCAATAATATTTATTTTATTTAATAAAATTCATAATGTCTGATAATACCGAAATTGAACCAATTAATAATAATACAAATGAGTGGATTAATTGGATTAAAGAAGCTATATCTAAAAAATACATTAAATATTATGAATACGAGAATTTCCATAATATTAAAGAAATTAGTTCTGGCGAAATTGGAAAATTTTATCGTGCAAATTGGAAAGATTCTTATAAACATTTAATATTGAGATCATTTACTAATTACGACGATACGACCGTTAAAGAAATCGTTCGTGAGGTAATTATAATATAGTATCCTGTTTTTTAATAATAATATTCGAGTTTTCTAACTAAACTCTTTTTTTATTGACCTAGCTTGAACTTCATCACGAGGTTGATTTTCATGAAAATTTTATTCAATTTTATGGCGTTACAACTTCTAATGAAGGTATGATAATGTTTTTTTTAGTAATGTTTGGCCGTCACAATTTGGAATTTTTATTTAATTTCAATTTCTTAAAAAACGGGGAGAGTTTATTATGTTTGTTAAAAAAATGGTAATTACTATAACTAATATAGGAGGTGACATCGAATAAAATTCTAAATTGTAATGGCCTTTACTGCAAAAGTTGTTTAATTTACCTTACACATAATTTATTAACTAAATTTTTTTCTCAAATAGAAAATCAAATTGACCGATATATGTTAGTAATGGATGATGCCGATGGTGGTACCCTCCAGGATTATTTAAAGAAAAATTTTCATAACCTCACTTGGAATGATAAATTCAACCTAGCGTTTCAATTGGCCAATGCCGTATCATATTTGCATGAAGAAGGAATTAAAATTGTTCATGGTGATTTGGTAATCCATTTATTTTTATTACTAAATAATAATAATATTTTTTTTAATACGAATAATGATTATCTAATAATTTTATTATATAGCGTTCCAGTAATGTATTCGTACATCAAAATATCATCAAGTTGGCTGACCTTGGAATGTCAAAAAGAATTGAATCAAAATCATCTGAAATACCTCGTGAAATAATAGCTTATGTTGATCCGAAAAAGTATATCAAACGAAAAAAAAAGAAAAAAAAATATCAATTAAAAGAAAAAAGTGATGTTTACAGCGTCGGCGTGATTTTATGGGAAATATCTAGTGGTCGACCTCCTTTTCAAACTTATGTTTCTAATTCTTCTAATTTAGACGAAGAAATTTCAAAAAATAATCTTAGAGAAGAAATTATACAAGATACCCCTCTTGGTTATTCTAATCTTTATACTGGTAAATATTGATATAAAATTTTAATGTTGAAATTTATAGTATTATTAATTTATATTTATAGTATTATTTTATTAATTTATATATTCTTAATAATTTAGAATGTTGGAAACCCGAACCAGATGAACGTCCAATTATGAGTAAAGTTGTCAAGAGTTTAAGTTCAATGATTTTAGAAAATAATTCATCGACAAATAATTATCAAACAATTGATTCAAAAATGAATAATAATATTAAAATCCCTTCAAATGTTAATGATTTATTATATGGAGGATTATCTCAAGTTATTCAAAATATTGAGATAAGTGCAAATGAAATAATTGAATCTTTAGCTATATTGAAAGAGAAGTTTAGTATAATTGTTGACGAAATTGTTAATCTTATTTCAAAAAATCTAAATGAAGGAAAAGAAGGAAAAGAGGTGAAAGAAATTGTCATTGATTATCTTGATAACAATAATATAAATTTAAAAGTAACTTATGATTTGCTTTTAAATAATCAAAATAGTTCAAATTCTATTTTTTTACTTGGATATTTTGATTATTATGGTATTATTATAGAAGATATAAATTATGAAAAGGCTTATAGTTCATTTGTTAAATCATTAGAAAAAAATAATTTATTATCACAATATTATTTATTCGAAATTATCATTAACACAATAATTGATCTTATTTTAGAAAATCTAAATGAAGGAAAGGAAGAATTTGTAGTGAAACAAATTGTTATAAAATATCTTGATAATAATAATATAAATTCACAAATAATTTATGATTTGCTTTTAAATAATCAAAATAATTCAAATTCTATATTTTTACTTGGATATTTTAATTATTATGGAATTTTTACAACAAAAGAAAATTATGAAAAGGCATTTAGTTTATTTATTGATGCATCAAAACAGAATCATATTTTAGCACAATACTATGTTGGAATATGTTATGAATTTGGTAATGGAACAACAATAAAAAATGAAAAGCTAGCTTTTGAATATTATGAAAAAATAGCTAACAAACTTTACGCATTAGGAGAATTTAAAGTTGGTTATTTTTATGATAAAGGAATAGGAATTGAAAAAGATGAAGAACGAGCTATTCATTGGTATGAAAAAGCTGCAGATATTGGACATTTTATTGCTGCATATAATCTAGGTCTTTATTACAAGAATAAAAAAGGTACTGAAAAAGATGATAATAAAACTTTTGAATTGTTTAAACACTCAGCTGATGGAGGAAATATAGATGGAATAGTAATGTTAGGATATTGTTATAGTAATGGAATTGGAACTAATAGTGATAAGAAAAAAGCATTTGAATTATATCAAAAAGCTGCATTTTTAGGAAATAGTACAGCTCAACATAATCTTGGTCATATGTATAAAGATGGAAAAGGTGTTGAAAATGATTATAATAAAGCTTTTGAATTATTCAAAAAGTCATCTGATGAAGAGGAGAATGTGGATGGAATAACGATGTTAGGATATTGTTATGATAATGGAATTGGTACCAAAATTGATAAGGAAAAAGCAATTGAATTATATCAAAAAGCCGCAAATTTAGGAAATAGTATAGCCCAACATAATCTTGCTTGTATTTATAAAGATGGAGAAAGTGTTGAAAAAGATTATAATAAAGCATTTGAATTGTTTAAACAATCAGCTGAAAAAGGATATCCAGATGGAATTACAATGTTAGGATATTGTTATAATAATGGAATTGGAACAGAAATTGACGAGCAAAAAGCCTTTGATTTATATCATAAAGCAGCAAATTTAGAAAATAATGCTATAGCACAACATAATCTTGCCCTTATGTACAAAGATGGTAATGGCGTTGAAAAAGATGATAATAAAGCATTTGAATTATTTAAAAAATCAGCCGAAAGAGAATATTTAGACGGAATTACAATGTTGGGATATTGTTATGATAAAGGAATTGGAACAAACATTGATAAGGAAAAAGCATTTGAATTATATCAAAAAGCTACAAATTTAGGAAATAAAACAGCACAACATAATCTTGCTCTTATGTATAAGGATGGAGAGGGGGTTGAAAAAAATTACAATAAAGCATTTGAATTATTCAAAGAAGCAGCAGAAAAGGGATATTCAGAAGGAATTACAATGTTGGGATATTGTTATAATAATGGAATTGGAACCAAAATTGATAAGCAAAAAGCTATTGAGCATTATCAAAAAGCCGCAGATTTAGGAAATGATATAGCTAAATATAACCTTAAATGTTTGTAATATTTGAGTATTTAAGAGCACGTATTAGTCAAAATATATGTATCAGTATTCATCATTTTATAGTACAATAAAAGTAAAATGAATAAAAAATTTCACGTTTTTAAATATTATTTTTTTTTCTGAAACATAAAAGGTAACAAGAACACTAAATTTCATGACGTAATTGACGTAATTGTATAAACAATACATTTTTAAGTCCGTACATTCCAGAAGTTACTAGACTGCTGTCATTTTAAGTCACATTTCAAAAAATTTAATCTCACATGATTTATTATCAAGTTTTGCTGCATGTGTTGTTGTCATTGTTATAAGGCTTAGAAGTTAACATTCTTGGACTCTCTACATACATTCAGTACATATGGTTACTTAGAAGCGTGAGAGTTATACACTTATACTAGTACATATGTTTGTATATATTTATTCATCAATTGATTCTTTCAAATCGAAATAATCGAAATTAAACAAATTAGAGTTAAACGTAAGGTATCATGCAATTATTTCAAAACTAAAACCCTAATTCTAATATTTTTTAGTATCTTCGAGTTGAATCTTTCATCGTTACAGGATGGATGTTTATTTGGTATTTTTTTATAATTAATAGACGTAAGTTATCAATAAATACTGTGACATTGAAATCTGAAATGAACTTAATGGCTCTGAAAACTGATAAATTTTTTTAAAAAAATTAGCACGATTACCTACTTACAGGGAATTCGTTGGTGCATTGTATATATTCGTAGCTTTGACTGCATTTTATGGTCACAACATTATTTCTCTTTAGCTTAGAAGCTTATTCAACGCTTAATATTATTGAGATTATTGTATTTGGATTAATTTAAGAAAGATTGTGAAAGTGTAAATCCTATGCACAAAGAACTTTATTCTTATTCTTTTGTTAGATGAGTTGCTATTGGTGTAATGATTGATGTAAGTATTTATGATTTTGGAAAATATACATACATACACACATAAATATTTATTGTTGAATTCCTTATCGTAGGCCTACTTTTATATTGTGCATCTAAACGATGTCTAAAATTCGTGACTGCGCCATTTTTGCGCTTATAATATTTATCCTATATATTGTAAATAGTTGCAATATTTTGGTAGTATATTTTCAATAAAATTAAAATTCTATATCAATATATTAATTGTCAATTAATAAATAAAGTTTATTATATCCTCATCATTTATGTTAATTACAAAGTCCTACAACCTACTACGTACTATTAAACGATAAGGTAATTGAAAATACTATTATTTAATGTTTTAATGAAATTAATATACGTAAAATTATATACATTAGTATCTTAATCTGAATATTCAATTTCTAGCCATGTAGATACTTTTTCTTTACTTCTTACATTCTTAGTAGATACTTTATTATTACTTCTTACATTCTTAGTATTTAATAGACTTTCTAACTTATTTTGTGCTTTTTGATTTCCTTGATTTGCAGACTTTTCAAACCAATAAATCGCCTGATCAATATCTTTAACATCTTCATATATGATCGCAAGATTATATTGTGCTATAATATTTCCTAAATTAGCAGCTTTTTGATATAATTTAAACGCCTTTTGTTTATTAATATCAGTTCCAATTCCATTACTATAACAATAACCTAACATTGTCATTCCATCTGTATCTTTCCCTTCAGCTGATTTTTTAAATAATCTAATAGCTTTATTATAATTTCTTTCAACACCTTTTTCATTTTTATAACAAAGACCAAGATTATGCATAGCTACGAAATGTCCATTACTCGCAGCCTTTTTATACCAATAAACAGCTTGCTTTTCATCTCTTTCAGTTCCTATTCCTTTATCATAAAAATAACCAACTTTAAACTCTGCTACAATACAATCCTGATTTGCTATTTTTTTATAATACTCGAAAGCCATACTTTCATTTTTCATAGTTCCATTTCCAAATTCATAACATATTCCAACATAATGTTGTGATAATAAATGGTTTTTTTCTGATGAAATAATGAATAAGTTGAATGCTTTTTCATAATTTACGCTTGTAATAATAATTCCATAATAATAAAAATAACCAAGTAAAAAAATAGATTTTATATTATTCTGGTTCAATAACAGCCATTCATAAACTTCATTAGTATCATGATTATCTAGATAGTCTAAAACACGTTTTATTATTAACTTTCCCGCTTTTCCTTTATTTAGATTTTCAGATATAAGATTAATGATTTCATCAACAATTATGTCGAATTTTTTATCAAATAAATTTATAGTGCTTGACTGTTGTTCGCTTGGTGGTTGAAGGAAACTGTCATTACTCTGTTGGCCATTTGTTTCTACTCGCGTTCCATAGCATGGGTGGCTTGCCGGTTGATTAGTTGATATCATTAATTTTAGTCTTTCAACTACTTTTTTCATTGTTGGACGAAAAACTGGTTCACTATTCCAACACTCTAAATGATATTTTAATAAATTAGTGTGGTTAATTAACATTATAATAATTTAATAATAATATTATTTACCGGTATATAAATTAGAATAATCTGAGGGGGTATTTGGAACAACCTTTTCTCTTAAACCTTGTGAAATTTCTACGGCTAAATCAATGTCATACAGTTCATCGTCAGTATAAAAAGGTGGTTGTCCGCTAGAAATTTCCCACAGGAGCATACCGATACTGTAAACGTCACTTTTTTTGTTTAATGGGTATCGTGTTTTATTATTATTCTTTTGTCTACTAAATCTTTTTGGATCAACGTAAGGAATTATTCCAAATAATTTTGATTGAAGCTTAAACCCTTCCTCGATTCTTTTTGTCAATCCAAGATCAGCCAATTTGACGATATTTTGATGAACCATTATATTTTTGGAGTGCTAAATTAAATTAAATTAAATTAAATTAATTAAATTTTAAAATTGGTTGTGTAACTATTTTCATAGTGTATATAATATATAACGTACTAAATCCAGGTGTATAATTTCCTCATCGTGTAAACATGATACAGCATAGGACAGTTGAAGTGCCAAGTTTAATTTATCACTCCAAGTAAGATCGAGAAAATTTTCTTTTAAATAGTTCTGGAGAGTACCACCGTCAGCGTATTCCAGTACAAACAAGTATTGATCATTTCGATCTAATTAATAGAATAAATCATAAGTTTTTTTTTTAATAATTTAAAAAATAATTTTACCTATAATATAAATTAAATTATTCTTACCTTCATCGTAAGTTGTAACACCATAAACGTGAAGAATATTTTCATGAAATCCAACTACCCGATGAAGTTTAAGCTAAATAGAGTTTTAACTTTTAAGTGAGTAACGCATAACTGATAATATACAAATAATTTAATATATATAATTAATTACCTCGTGAACTAATTCTTTAGTGATTGTATCATTAAAATTAAAAAATGATCTTAATACAAAATATTTATTAGAATTTTTCCAATTTGCACGATAAAATTTTCCAATACTATCGGAACCAATCTCTTTAATATTATAAAAATGATCGTATTCATAATATTTAATATATTTTTTAGAAATGGATTTTTCAATCCAATCAATCCACTCGTTTGAATCTTCGATATTATCAGACATTGTGAATGTTATAAAAAATAACAGAGAAATTAAGGTATTTATAAATTTACGTTTCTTGACGAAAGTAAAATACGCCCTCAACGAAATATACAAAAAAAGCAAAAAAGTAGCTATCACGTGATTATAATCTTAATCATCAAATTTCGTGTGAAATTATACTGTATATTTATAGTCATTTTTACGATATTCAATGAATTTCAAATATAATGTTAATGAAAAATTTTCCCAGAACATTACATCGATTTTGATGGCGATTTATAATGAATTTCCCTTTTATTATATTGAAGTCACGTAATACATACCTAATCTGGTATTATTAAAACCAAATGAGAATTAATTTTCACAATTCAATCAAATTTCATTATTCCTTTTATCTCTTAATACCTGTTTGCTGTGTATCATTTGTGAGAAATTGTTAATAATAAAATATTGTGTAATTTACAAATTGTTGATCGAGCCAATCATGATCGATCAGAAATCTGTTATTTATATTTGGGCCAAAATTATCCATAATGTGGGCTGAAATTATTGTGTACATGATAGATTTGTATTTGTGCGTCAGTGTTTCTTAAACACATTAAAATATAGTTTTTTATTTTGACCATTTATATTAACTAAAATTGACCTAACAAAATAAAAAAAGAAAAAATTTAAAAGAAATTTAATGTCACTATCAAACCTTTCCCTATTTCTCTAATTTACTAAATTCTGTTAAAGTGCTTAACCTTACTTCAGAAGTCAAGTTCTATTACGTATAATTTAAGCTTATTTTCAATTTCATTTCAAATAATTTTAACTTTTCGTTTTTTTATTGTTCCATTACCAAATTCTTATTTCATAACATAGTAATTGTATTAAAATTAAAAAATGATAGAAAATTTTCAATTTTCACGATAAAATTCTCCAATTCTATGTATCAGAATCAATTTCTTTGACGCTTTGAAAATTTTGTATTCGTAATAAATAATTTTTAGAAATAACTTCTTCGATCCGATCAATCCACATATTCATAATTTTCAATATAAAGAAATTTGAGAAAAATTTTTATATATTTAAAAGAATTAACGAAACGCCGCATTATAATTTAACGCATATTTATGGGCATTTTACGTATATAGAAATGTTTGATTGTCTTACATCATACTCACTTTCATATGATTATTATAGTAATCTACATAAACATTTATTCATAAATGTTTATTAAGTGCAGCCATAGCTATACCGATATTGGAAAAGTATGATTTTTAGTAATTAATTCGGTGATATAGCGCTTTTTTTTTTAAAGGATAAGGGAAGAAAATTTGAGTCTCTATTTGTTAAAGTCATAAAAATCGATCTACTTGAAAATATCTTTTTTTTGTATTAAAAATATAATTTGTTTGATTAAATTGCTTGTGATCCCAAAACAATGATCAATTTTATTTACTCAATTATATAATATAAAATTTTAGTCTTGAATTACTCCTCATTATGTAGCATAAGCTATTTATAGTACTTATCTAAAAATGAGATTAAAAAATTCTCCTTTAGTCATGGAGAGTGTTACGTAATATTTAACTATAATAATAGCATTCTATTGGCATATTAGTAAAAACAAATAGTAACATATCAATATTCTTCTGCATGATATTCAGTTTATTTAATACCCGTCGAATTTTAAGTGAATTCTTGATGGAGATTAATTCATTTTTCGGAATTTGTGATTCATTTTGCCGAATATATTAAATTAGGTTCAATTCAACAAAAGAACATATAAAAAATTAATAAATAGAAATATAACCTTTAAAGAAAATAATCAACATTCTATCTAAGATTTATGTTTTCATAAACATTTATTGACAGATCGAAGCATTCTCAACTTTTCGTAAAATTTTAGATGCCCCTTTTTTGCAATTAAATCAGCTGTTGCCTTAATCCGTCGTTTAAATCATATATCGGAACTCAACGAGGTAGCAATTTTTTTCCGTTAAAAGGAAGGAATTACATAAGAGTATCCAACTCTCTCTTCTTCATTGTATAATTTTTCTTATACGAAATATGGAGCTGATTCTGAAATACCAATAAAGGAAAGCTAGGCTAGAATCGAACTAGACAAAGCACAGCTATGCTACCAGGTTAAGATTAAAAAAAACTTATCTGTTCTCTTAATCTTTTAAATGCATAGGAGAAAGAAAAGAAACAGATCAAAAGAAGAAACCCACCTTACAATTTATTTTCTTGACAGAATGTTTGTATGTTGATAAACATTCTGTATTTACCTATTACGAAAAGAAAAATGTGCTAAATTTTTTATTTAATAGTAAGGAAGGTACTGTCTTAAAGTTAGGACGTTTCTCTTTAAGTCAAAAAGGAACTTCCCGACCCAATTGAATTATCATCCGTTCCTTAACTTGCTTAGAAGTTACCCAATAAAAAACACGCCTAATTGAAAGAGGATTCCAAGATCATGTGGCCTAGTAAGTTATTAAAGTTGACGGTACTAACAGTAATAAAAGTACATAACGCATAACGTTAAATGCATGATAATGAAACTGCAGAGCATTTCTTGATTTTCTTTCTTTTAATAATCTTTGGCAGACTCCTACAGTTAATGTAATCATAATTTGTTTTATGATGAAAACAAGTAAATATTCTCACTTGTGTAAACTTCGCTCTCTACTCCTCCAGGTGTTAAACTAAAAAAATGATGATAGCAGTAATAAAACTGCACTGCAGAAAAAAAAAGCCCGAATGGGTCTTATATATATATATATACGAGGCATTTTTTACGCGATTATTTGCTATCGATATTACAGTAATTTTACTACTATGACGTGATGTTACAGCTGTTATGCGATCAATATGCTAATTCATTGTTATCCTACAGCCAAATAGGATCGTATTTTTTTAATAGCATAATTATTATTGATATTTCTCATATATTAAATAACATGAAAAAGTTAAAGGACGCGTTTGGTTGAAATTACATATTATTGGATACAACTAATTGTTATTATACCAGCTGCATAATAATTAAATAATTTTAATATAAAATAAACAATTATTAAATAAATTACTTTATTCCTTATTTTAAGTATATTTAAGTATAAATACTTTTCGTAGGGATAATTGACCTGAACATCTCCCAGATTGAAAATCCAGCAATGCAAGATTTGCCTTGCTTTCCCATATATCATTTATACTGCAATATTTTTATTATTGGATGATTACAATCTTATAATGCTTATAAAATTTTTTTTTTAGGCAATATATAGAAATAAAATCCATTCATACTTTTCTCTTTTATCGCAATTTATACACACACATTATTTATATATAACATACGTAATTAAAAAATATAGACTTTTTTATTTATTTTATTATTTCTCCATTTTTTTTTTTTTTTTTGAAAAAAAAAAAAGGCTACTTATTTTGATAATCTTCAAAGGTGTATTGAAACCATACCGTTTCTCGGGGAACCGTTCATTTCACCGACAGACGTTTCACCGACACATTTTTTTCACCCCTGTGATTGTCACATGACAGTACTTGGCGTGATGTTTAACGTATAATTATCACGTGATATGTATGTGACATTTAGGTGTCGGTGAAACGGGTGAATCTGTCATTTCTCAAAGCAACCGATGGACTTGTAAAATTGATCTATTTCTTCCTTTAGAATGTATAGAAATTTTATTCTACCCTTTTTTCTTTTTAGATTTGCTTGGTTCAAAGGTATTTAATGTTGTTCAAAATGATATGAATGGAAACATTGAGGTACGTTTTAATCATTTTAATAGTTTTAATCGGGTTTAATCGGTTTGATGGTTTTTAATGTTTTAATCTTTTTCATTAATTTTCTTTATATAGAAAATTAGGAAATGTTATGATGCTGACCCAACAAAGAGTCATACTCTCGAAAAGCTGGTGATTGACGAACAAGGTGAAAAGAAACGTCCTGCTACTGATCCTACTCATAAATGTCATATTACTTAATAAATTTCATATAAATATAGAGGATTGGAATTTACTTCAGTAGCATTAGGACGTTCTATTAATGATGGAAATGATGAACTTTCAGTTTCTTTTATAGTGTTACTTTGAAACCATTTCATGGAATGGTCGTCCGACCTATATTTGCAGTATGTTTTATCATTTTTATTTTTTTTTATATATTAAAAAAAAAAAAATTCTTTTTTTTTTGGATCAATCAAGTTGGCAATGAAAGCTTGTCCTTATCGTAAAGATTTTTTTGTGAAAAAGTTAAACAATATGATGAACGGTTAAAATGTTGTTCAAAGATTAAATAACTTTTATACTGAAGGTGGTTATGATAAAGGTAAATTTTAATAATAGATAATAATTTATACATTTGTTGATTTTTTTTTTCATATATTAAAGTTTTCATAAAATAAATAAAGACGGAAAATATAATTTTGGAACAAAGCAAATTAATTGGCTCTTATTAATAATGCGATAATAGAATTGAATAATATATATATTTATAATAATTATCATCTTACAAATATATTGTTAAAAGGATTTCCCACCAAATAATTAAAAAAAAAATTATCTAAAAAAAAGGTAGTAGAAGATAAATTAAAAACAAAACATATTTTTTAATTTTTGTTTTCAGTTTCACCAGAGTTTCACCAGGCTTCTTTGAATTACAAGCTACAATCTTGATTTTGTGATTTTTGTCAGCAGGTAACGATTCATGTAATTTGGATTCTTAATAATAATGAATGTCCATATTTTCGTCGCAAAACGATAAGTACGAGGACGTCCAGCCTGAAAATTCCAATAATAAGTTGGGATGTATAAATTTAATAAAACAAATTTGATCCAAGAGATTCCGCTATACTTTTATCAAACCAATAATAAATATAAATTTGATTTTGTAAGTACTATATTAACAAAAACAAAAAAGAAATATATATATTTCACGATCAAATCATTTCTATTTTTTATATTATACCGGATTTATTCAAAATATTAATACTTGTAAAATCAGGTGGAACATCAGGTTCTAACGTGATGTAATTCAATCATATTTCCTTATTTTTTATGGAACATTCTTTTTTGTAATCTAATTTTATTAATTTGGAGCACTTAAATTTGGCCAGAGTTATAACCGGAAATTATCAGTATAATTCCGTATGGAATCCGGATTCAATCCGGATTTAATTGTAACATTCAAGTGGGTTTTTGTATCTTAAAAAGGCGAATCTATGCTTTATTTAGCGACATTGTGATAGTATCGGACACCACAACATACTAAATTTGGTCGTCTTTCGGTAAAAATTCTTTCCGATGGTTGTACAATACAAATGTACAATAGAATAAAGGGTTAAACCGGAGATTTAGAAATCATCCTATCCGATAAAACATCATTGGGAATATTAATCTGTTATAAATACGGTTTAACCTTAACCGAAAATAAAATTTTACCCCCTGTTGATCAATTTTTAGTTTTATAATTTCTAAATCTTAAAAACAAAAGCACACAATTTAACGCCATTCAACCAAATTCAGAATGAACGTTATCCGAAATTGAAAGGGTTAATCAGCAACTACTTTTGGAAACAATAATTAGTTGAAAAAAAGAAATAATTAAGTCAAAAAAAAAAAAAAAAAAAGCAATATAAAAATGATTAAAAGTATTTTTCTCACCCCAGCTAACTATGGATTCTATCAAAATTTTATTAAGTGATTTTCGTCAAATTTATGAGAAACCTGATGATTTTGATATCGTTATTAATGTTGGAAAAGGGGAAAACTTTAAAAGTTTTAGTGCTCATTCCGTAATTTTAAGAGCAAGATGTCCCTATTTTAAAAAGAAAAAGGTAATAACGTCCGAATATTATTTAGAAAATTTTTCACCTGAAGCTTTTGAATTTATTCTAAAGTAAGTGTATTATTCATAATTCCGTTTATAATTATGATATTTATTTAAACAAACAAACAAACAAACAAACATATTTATAGGTATATTTATACGGGCGAATGTAATATAGAGGAAGATATTGATATGTATCAAGTTCTTATAGCTTCGAACGAGCTGGAACTTACATATTTAATCGATTATGCTCAAAATTATATAATTAATAATGAGGAAGATTGGGCAGAAAATAATATTATAAGAATGTATATTGAGTCAGTACGATGCAATTTTACCAAACTTTCGAATTTTTATGGTGAAATCATCGCGTTTCAACCTTTATTATTATTTAATTCATCATATTTCAACTCTTTGGATATTAATGTTTTCTTAAAATTCCTCGAACGTAATGATATTAACATCGATGAAATTGAAATTTGGGACAATATAATTAAATGGGGGACTGCACAAAGACCACGGCTCAATTTCGGACCTTCAAATTATTCTAATCATGATTTTGGAGAATTACAACGTCGTTGTTACGATTTAATTTCAAAAGTCAAATTCTTTGGGATTACTGGTGACGAATACCGTGCATACGTTTGTCCTTATAGAAGAATATTACCACCTTTTATTGTTGATAAATTGGAAGAATTTTACAGGGTAAATGGTGCAAGACTCCCTTATAACACATTAAACATTAGAAATCCAAGATCTTATAGAGTTAATTCGCGTATTGTCTCTATTGAACACCTTAGGATAATTACTGATTGGATAGCGAGAAAAAATAACATTAATATTTCATTATTACCGATATTTTCTTTTAAACTTTTACATCGTGGCATAGATGATGGAATGAGCGTCGATGAATTTCATGAAAATTGTGACGAAAAAGGACCTACATTGGTCGTAATTAAGATAAAAGATTCCCACGACATCATTGGCGGGTATAATCCATCTAGTTGGAGTTCTTCGGGATTTTGGAAAGTCACAAATAAAAGTTTTATTTTTTCATTTAAAAATGGATCTTTTAGAAATGATATCTTAAGTCGTGTAAGAGATCAAAGTACTGCGATACATGATAATTTTAATCACAATCTTGGATTCGGATATAGAGACCTTCTTTGGTTTAAAGGTGAATGTATATGTTCTAGCTATAAAAAAAAAATTCTTGAAACTAGTAAATTTCTTTTAGAAGATTACGAAGTTTTTCAAGTAATTAGAAAGACAAATTATTCTTAGATTTTAGCCCTTTTGAATTATTATAAAACATGTATTTTATCTTATACAATTATTTATAATAAATTAAAATAGATAAATCCAATTTAGCCAAAATATTCATTTTATATGGATATAGATTTTAGATTTTCAAACTAAGCGTCAATTGAACGTCCAGCAAAACTATACGAAAGCATTTTAGACATCATTATTTCATTTTATTCATTTTATGAAAAAGATTAAAGAAATTATTAAATTTTCTTAATAAAGATGATACACTTCCAAACTTCTGAAAAAAATATCTTTCAACAGAAAATCGGGTAAATCTTTTTTTTTTTATTTTTCATAATGAAATATTTTACAATTACATGTAGCATGAAATTATTAGATATTAATAAAAGGTTTCTATATACTACTCAGGCTTAGTACATATAAAATAGCGTGGGACATGATCATACTTCATCATGTTCAAACAACAAACGTAGTGGTAAGATTTGTTACCCAATCAGGCATACATCAATAATCGCGACACATTAAACAAGTTAGGTCAAATCTCGCTATATATAATCCCAATTTAACGTGAAAATTTACACATTTTTTTTTTCTCCTTTTTTTCGGGGGCATGTTTAATTCATCTCGTTCTCCTATTTCGTTGCGAAACTTGGCGGAAATTTTCTTAGATGATAATGTTCGCTTTCGTTCACATCGGTTATCGGGTTACTATGTCAAGAATTAACAGGACTTTCATATATTGAAAATTTTCGCTCTGGTAATATTCCTAGAGCTCGTTTTTCGGATAGCGCACATCAAGTCTTGACAGGATTTTTCAGGCAATGAAAGTTTTCACAATGGTTTACCTCTCTTGTCGAAAGACTTTGATAAAACTTTTAGACAATAAAAAAATGAAAAAAAAAATTTTATCTACACTCAATTATTCTTGAAGCAAGATCCGCTTATTTTGAAGGTATTCTTTTTAATGGATTGGTAAAAAAAAGAATATGTTTATTTTGAATTTTCCAGATACCTCTGTTAACGTGTTCAATATACTACTAGTAAGGTAATATACAATTAAAATACATGTTAACATTTTTAACGTAAATATATTTAAAATTAAGACATCTTTATTTTATTTTAATTTAGATATATTTATGATGGTACTATCAATATTCATCACGAAAGGGCCGCGGTTATTTTGAACCTTTTAATTGCTTGCGAAAAATCGAAGAACTGTGTGATTATGTTCAATATTATCTTATCGAACATCATCAAACTTGGCTTTTTCAAAATTTTGTTTTAACTCAACAAGTAAATTTTAAATATTCGGAATTTACCATATTACAAGATTATTGGATAGCGACCGTTTGTATACAACCTGAAATTATTATATTTGAAGCTACTGATTTTACATCTATTGGCAAAGAAGTTTTATTATCTCTTTATAGAAATGAAAATTTATATATTGAAGAATATGAATTATGGGATCATATTATCCGTTGGGTAAAGCTCAAAATACCGAATCACCAAAAGAAATTAAAACTGGACATCAAATAATTTTGATATTTTAAAGAAAACTATAGATGACTTTTTACTTATATTAATTTTATGACATTTCACCTGAAAACTTTTAGTAAGGTTCCTTCTAATGATTTGTATCAAGACATTTTAAAATATCATTTAGTAGCAAATCGACAACCAAATTTAATAATCTTACGTATTGATTCAATAATGAGCAAGCAATGCTCATTTGTTCCTGGATTCAAGGAACAAAGAAAACAAATTTATTATGAATTTCGATTGCTTACTCGTGAGAGTCGTGATGGATTTAATAGAGAAATATTTCATACAGTGTGTGATAAAGAATACCCTACAATTACAATTATGAGATTGCAAAATGAAACATTAGCTAGGAAAACTTTAAGAGTTTTCTTTTTAGTATAGGTAAAGAAATAATTTATCTAGAGTTCAAGATTATAATAAGGCTATATACCAAAATGTGGATGGTCCAAAATTTTAATGAGTTAATGTTTTTGGGAGCTTTCAACAACAAATTTGTATGCATTACGTTAAAAAGGCGTATGATCAAGAAATACATGAAAATGTGAATTTTTTTTTATAAAGTTCTAGTGTAACTAGATTTCTTTTCGTAGTTTTTGTAAATAAGATCGTAAACAAAGATCAATAAACCATTTCTGGTTGTCTTGTTGTTTAGAGAAAAAGAAAATTATATATTATTTTTCAGCCAACACAATATAATTTTTATGGATGGATGTAAAAATTATATTTTAATGGGCACGCAATTTTACCTTAATTGTCACAAGACAAAACTTTTAGAATTAAGATTTTATAACTAACATTGCGAAAAAGAATTTTGCTCACGGTCAATTATTTTTGAAACAAGATCCGCTTTCTAATGGATTAGCAAGAAAAATTAATGACCAATTTCTTTGGATCTTTCTGATATTTCCCGTTAATTCTTTCAGAAATTTAATTAGGTAATATAAATTAAAATTTAACATATATATTAAAACGAATTTCTATTAATTTTAGATGTATTCATGGCGCCATTTATTTTGATTGGGGAGGTTATAGTATTTTGGGCCTATTAATTGCTTGCGAAAAGTAATTTCTTCTTACTCTTCGCGATTGATTATTTAGTAGCTCAAAATTGATTATCGATTTTGCTCTCTTCCATCTCCATTTGGCCATTTCAGTTTTTTTCTGAGGACATTATCTGAAATCGTGCTAGGAAGCTGTTGACATACTTCTTCGTTAACTTTCTTGTGTGCCTCGTGTTCGAGATGGTATTTCCTATGAAAGTCAAAACGTTCCAATAGGACTGTTCTAAAAAATTATAACTCCTAATAACTTCTTGGGTTAGGAGAATATGATGTTGAAAATTGTGTTTTTTAGAAATAGATTTAAAATAATACTTGCAACTCCCTGGATTAGAAACAAATTATTTAGTTTTGAAACAATACTATAAAATTGAAGGTGAGATTCCTTCAATCGAAGGCGTTTTTATCACGAACAATTTACCATTTGGTAAATTTAAGATTAACCTTACATTACCCGAAAAGCTTTTCGTCGTTATTTTGCAGCGTGGGAATGAAGAATCAGAGTCGATGACGGATCAGTATTTTATGTTTTTATAAAATATTTTAAATATTTTCGTTTTATGAATTCCCTACAGATTTGATGAACAAAAATTACAGTAGAATTGACGTTCATTATTTTAAAAAAATTAAAAATTTTTATGAATTAAATTTTTCTTAATTTTAATACAAAATTTGTTCTACGTCCGATACACTATTGAATATTATAAAAGTGAAACTAAAAAAAGATATATTACATGACCATCTTCTATATTCGAATACTTGTCATTGATTTCTGTGATCCGCTTTCCTTCTCCATAATTCAAAGAAACGTTCCGAAGGGTTCCTAGGAGCTACATAACATAAATATTACTATTGTCTACATAGATACATCACATCACCCTTCGGGGTTAAAAGCCAGAAATTTTCACCAACCTTAGATCCATAAATCACTAACTTCAAAAAATTCTTGTTGATATCTTTAGTCGAATGATTATATTTGATTGTTCTCTAACTTCATCCCCCTCGCTTTCGATTATTGTATACTTCTTGTTCTCGATACTAAACTTACATATACTTCCCTATATTTTTTTTATTACTATCCTCGCTTCCCATTACCAAAAATAAAAGTATATATTTTGTTGTAGATATCATATTTGTATTAGTTTAAGTCCAATGTATTTTTTTCTTTCCATACCAAAAGTATACACTCCGTATGTTTATGTTTTTCATACTTTTTTCGTATTGCCTCCCTGTCAATAAAATTTAATTTTTAAAATCGCAACAATGATAAAACAATGTTAATTATACTTTACTTTTCTTCAGCAACGGTGATTTTAAACTCTTGTTCTTTGACTTTATTGATAAATTCTCTTTCATATAATGATGGATGAATCTGATACTAATTTATTGAAAATGTTAATTTTGTAAGGTCAATTTTATTTTATCTAAATAAAGTTTTAAATTTATTTACCTTTTACGTAATCTTTTTGCGACGTGCAAAAACTCAAATCCCTCATTTCTTAACCATTTTTCCATGGGTTTCGGAATTCTTACAACGCCTACTTTTAAAAAAAAAAGAAAAAAAAAAAGAAAATGTTAGTAGTTAGTACGCAAAATTTACTGTATATAATAAAATGGTTACGTAAATCTTCAGGTGATACGGTACTAAGATAAATAAATCAAAAAGCTCCATGAAAGGAGTATCAAAAATCTCCACGAAGAGAGTATCAAAATCTCCAACAAAGGGAGTATCAAAAATCTCCACGAAGGGAGTATCGAAAATCTCCACGAAGGGAGTATCAAAAAATCTCCACGAAGGGAGTATCAAAATCTCGGAAGTATCAAAAATCTCCACGAAGGGAGTATCGAAAATCTCCACGAAGGGAGTATCAAAAATCTCCACGAAGGGAGTATCGAAAATCTCCACGAAGAGAGTATTAAAAAATCTCCACGAAGGGAGTATCAAAAAATCTCCACAAAGGGAGTATCAAAATCTCGGAAGTATCAAAAATCTCCACGAAGGGAGTATCGAAAATCTCCACGAAGGGAGTATCAAAAA